CCGCTTTCCCCCCCACACCCCCAAATCAGATCTGAATGTGATGCTTCCTTGGGTGAGAGAAATGAAGTTCTCTCACTGCTTGTAATGAAGTCCAAGACAGAGGCATCTGGATTTTCTCCTCTGAAGACTCACAGGTACATCACTTCCCTGGGGACAGGAAGAAGGGGCCATGAAGGATTGAGGTAAATCTCTGAGCATTTAGCAATACAAAAGCCTTTTCTTGTGTTAGGAGGAAAGCTATTCAGGAGCTCTGACATGTTGGATTCAGCATTTATAAACTCCATAAACCAAGAAACCGTATTTAATTGCATGGTTACGTTTTCTAGTTACCCATATGGAGTGAGATGGGGAGGATAAGGTAAATTCACTAAAAGTACAGGTGGATATTTTAGGTGTTTTTAAAATGGGAGGGTGGAATATTACAAAGCTCTTTGCAAATACATCTCAGCTATGTTTTTTTAGTCCTTTATAATAAACAATTCGTGGAACACTTCAGTAAGGACTGTTTAAAATGCAGAAACAAAACATAGCTGCAAGCGGAGTTTCACAGAAGCAACTGGGGGACATCTGCCGAGATCCTTTGGTTAGAGAGGAGCTGATGAACTCAAAGAGGCAAAAGAAGTAAAAACAGCTACCAGCATGCAAGGGGCTGCACATTACAATGGGCTAGCATCCAGGCCTGAATTCCTTTTGCTATTCCTTTTGGAGTAAGCAATCCTATGCAGAACACAGAACAGGAGGAAGAAAAGAGTTGTTTTTTAATGAGATGGGCGGTGACAAATTTGACATATAAATAAATCAATAAAATAAAAAAAGAAATAATAAGCCAAAGAAATTAAAGACATAAGAAAATGAAATAGAGGTAAAACTTGTTTACAATAAGACCATGCATTACACCTTTCTGCCCTTGCAAATCCCTGCCATCCTTACAGTGCACCTCTTCATGCTTTGTGTCTGGTTCTCTAAATTTCTCAGCTCTTTCTGTCTGAGGATCTCACCAATTCTATCCAACCACAACTTTCTCAGTTTTCCCCCTCCTCTCAGCTCATCCACTCTTCCTATATTCATTCTGCAATATGACCTTCAATATAATCCTCATTTATTAAATCCTGACCCAGCCTCTTTTTGTATACTACACAAGTACTCCATTCTTACAGTATTCAACTTAATTTTAGGTTTCTCCAGACATACCCAAAACTCAATTTCAAATAACAAAGTGGGCAAAAACATGCTATTTTTGCTTGTTCTACAAATCATGTCTTCCTCACAATAGACCTTTCTACCACTATTTGCATATATTAAAAATTCTGAGTTTCCCTATGTTTAGTGACCATTATACCAAAACACAGCTACTTGCTTTACTTTTGCTGTTATGTATAACTTGTTCATTATGAATACATTTCTACTGGTTCAGTCATCTGACTCTAACTGGCTTACAGCAAAACATACAATACATGACATTTTGCTAAATAAATCTGCAGTCACTCACACAATTTTCAGATCCATATTCCTTGCTGCATCATATAATCTATCTAACATTTGCTGCAAATCATTCAAACAGTCAGCCAATAGCATAGAATCATCTGTATACCAAAGTACATGTACATTCACTCCCGCAACCAACACACTGTTAGTATCACGACAAATACTCCTTATATTTTATCCATAAATATGCTCATACATCTTGGACTTACTCCCTGGTCAATGCTGGACCATTTGCTAAGCATTTCATTTATTGCAGGCTTTGTTTTCATGTACACTGCTGTTATCACATTCAGCAATCAAACTTCAACTCCATATTTGCCCAAAATATTTCAGAATTCAAGTCTAATTGTTTTATCATACTGTATGCCTTTTTCTAAATAAACAAATGGATAGTAAACCTTCTTCACGTTCGTATTTTTCTCAGTGGCCTGCTGAAGAGCAAAAATCTGGTCAATGCTGTATATTTTTTGCTCAACATAAAGTCATCACTTCTCGAATTTTATTCATTGTAACCTTTGGATCAGAATTCTGCCAAATATATTCCCAGGCATGCCTAACAAACTAATCCATCTGTAGCTTTCATGTTCTTCATTCCTGCCAGCTTTCTTTTCAGACAGGGGAACAAAGCATTC